AGTAACAGGATATATAGGAGCAACAAAGGACAGTGATCAGCAAGGTCCAGGATATCAAATTGAACTCGAACTTGTGACAGTGAGTCCCAGTGTGAAAACGATCCGTAGTAACTGTATACAATGCTTATTATGTTTATTAGAATAACTCTGCTAACCTCAGAACCATGATCCTGTGGGACGTGGAGCGGGGAATCCCAGGAATATTGATACAAAGCCGCTTGACACGTTTCTGCATTGTCAGCATAACGGTAGACACTTGGCCTAAGATATCAGGTTGTCAGGCGTTCGTAGCCACTGCGTGCTCCCAGTCGTATGCGCTGAGACATCGTGACTCCCCTTGGCAGATTCCACACACCCCCTGCTCACACGTATCCATGACCTTCCACCCTGGGCCTGTTCTGCTCACGCTGTGCCCTGGCTACTCGTGTTCTTCAGAGCGAAAAATCACAGACTGCACCTCTGTGGGACTGGCATGGCAGGTGCGTACAACCGTGTGGGCGTCTTGTGGTAAATAGTTAGTTGTGTTATTTCCCCTTGTTACTCCGATGCGCCTGGCCATTCAGGATTAGGGATGCCCCAACTGTCAGACTGAGTGGTGTTGGAGTTAATAAAAATGGGTTATACTGGTAGGAACGAAGTGAACCAGCCTACAATAGATTATATCGTCCGTCCGTTTGTCCGTCCGTCCGTCCGTGTAGCAACATCGCCCCCTACTGCAAACATTTGGCATGACCCTACAAAAACCTTTAGACTCAGTGACGCTTTCCTGGCTAAACAAGTGTAACATTCCCTTATAATTCCATCAGATAGCTTTCAATTAAAACATTTAAATTAATGAGGCTTTCCTGGCTAAACAAGTGTAACATTCCCTTATAATTCCCTGAGATAGCTTTTAATTAAAACTTTTAAATACAAATTTAACTCACAGCGGCCTAAAGCCTACAGCTAGGCCTAAAGCCTCGAACTACGCCTCAAACTCTCCCTCCGTATCGTACCACCGCGTGTGTGCAAGGGAGTTAATGTTTAACAATGTTACATTCCCTGATGCTTTTAAATAGAAACATTTAAATTTAAAGCTTTTACATTCATAATAAAAACATTTAAATTAAAAATTAACTCACGGCGGCCTAAAGCCTACAGCTAGGCCTAAAGCCTACAACTAGGCTTCAAACTCTCCCTTCGTATCGTACCCCCGCGTGTGTGAAAGGGAGTTAATGTTTAACAATGTTACATTCCCTGATGTTTTTAAATAGAAACATTTACATTTAAAGCTTTTACATAAATAATTAAATCATTTAAATTAACAATTAACTCACAGCGGCCTAAAGCCTACAGCTAGGCCTAAAGCCTACAACTAGGCCTCAAACTCTCCCTTCGTATCGTCCGATTAGGTGTAGCAACATCGCCCCCTACTGCAAACACTTGGCAGGACCCTAGAAAAACCTTTAGACTCAGTGGGCCTTTCCTGGCTAAACAAGTGTAATAATACATTATGTTTATATTCTTTGGTTATTCGTTCCTACCAGCCCACCCCGCAGGGTCCTGTTTGCATCCAGGGTGAGTGCTGGATGGACCATGTTAGTAGAATAGAAGGAGACATACACCTCCACTACATCTGTGTATCTGTGTCTCTGTGCATGTCTGTGTTTCTGTCTGTGATTCTGTCTGTCTAATTTTGTGTCTCTGTTTAAGTGTTTGTATCTTTGTTTCTTCGTGTTTTTTTTTTGCGGTGTTTCTTTGACTGTATGTGTTTCTGTACCTTTGTGTTTCTGTCTTTGTCTCTGTGTCACTGTGTTATTGTTTGTGTCTCTGTTTCTGTGTCTTCGTGTTTCTGTCGCTGTGTCTGTTTCTGTGTCTCTCTCTTGCACTGAGTGTTCTGCAATCTTTTCACGTGAGGGAAGCCACCCCCTCTCAATCTGATGACGTAATCAACCAATGAACTCAGCAGGTGACTTTTTTGGCAATGACCCTTCTCCATGTCATCAATAATAGCGTAGCATGTGAGGCTTTGACTGGATTAAAATATACAATAGGCACAATAGGCGACGTTTTGGGAAATGGACTTGCCTTCTTTTCATAGCACATGCACAGAGAAGCCAGGAGAGAGGCAGATTGGATGCTAAGAACTGGAGGCTGCATTGGTTTACACCATGGGCCTGGGGCCCGATGAGAATCACATTTCACACGAGTTTGAACGTTCAGGTTCTCATCAGCGGCAGAGTCAGGCTCGATTGAGCCTGATGAAGGTGAATATGCTGCTGATGAGACAATGAAAGTCAAAACCGGTCCCGAGTGTTGTTGGCACTGAAAACATGGTTCAAGCAAGCCTGACTCTTGGTGAGACACTGAATGTTAAAACCGGTCCAGAGTTTTACTTGTGTAGGACTTGAGAAACACGCGTCGGATTGTGATATGGGCACGCGGCAGACAGTGAGGGCAAACGGGGACACAGGGAGCGGGCGACATACTGTTGTTATTGTACCAATTAAGGTGGTAAGGTAATTAAGGGGGGCCTACAGGTGTTCGGGGGTAATCGAGGACACAGGCCGGTGATTGGACGAGAGGGATGGGTGTTGGGAATTGGCGCCTCGATGTCTACAATAACAACATCACGTGAGGCTGGGGGCGAGGGGCGAAGCGGGGGATGGTCTAATTGATTAAGGGAATTGGTTCAGGGATAAAGGCAGAGCGTGGGGAGAAACGGGGATTGGTTGGTGCCTGGGACAAGAGACGGATAGAGGAAGAGACGAAGCAGCAGCCAAGAGAGTATAGTATACAATAGCAGTGGACAAGAGAGTATAGTATAAGGTAGCAGTGGACAGAGAGAGTGTATGGTAGCAGTGGACAAAGAGAAGACACAGTAGGGTAGCAGCGGATAAAGAGAATACAGTATAGGATAGCAGCGGAGTAACGGACCTTGGTGGAGAAGCTACGACGGAGTGAGACGGCAGAGAGAACAAAGAGCGACTGAGCTGGAGAGAGAGAGAGCAGAGAGGGAGGTCGCTGGAGGAGAGGAGCAGAGGGAGAGCGAGCGAAGCCAGCGGAGCGAACGGAGGGACATTGAGTGATGTTGATGGGGAGTTGTGCGTTGAAGAGAATGGAGGGACATTGGGTGATGCCGATGGAGATGTGAACTATACGCGTTAATAAAGAACGAGAAAGACAAAGCTGTCGCGTCAGTACGAGTCCTACACTTGTAAGAACAAATGGTTAAAGTGATTCAGAGAGGCCCTCTGATGCTTTGTCTTCATCGGCCTTGATAGCAAGCCGAGTGTTACAGAGCATCAGATGTGGGACTGTGCGTATTTGCCTTTTCGGAGTGGGTGGAATGCTAAGTTTACCAAACTAAAGTGAGTATCCATCGCCCTGCATGAACATAAAGGGCCGGTTGACTCTGCCCACGTATGTATGTTGAACTTCTTTTGCAGCATATGTAGCCGAACCGTACTAATTGGAGGTCCACGTGTGGACATAAAAGCCATCACCATCTCAACCACACGTTCATGGCGTTGCGTGAGGCTTCTAGGCTTCATGATTGCATTGTGTAGCTGATAGAGGTTCTTGAGAGGCACCTGGGGCCTAAAGGTGCGGTAGAGGGAATGGACACTGTTGGACCAGAGGAGAAAACTGCACCACGTGGTGTGTGGAAACACATCACAGTGGTAGTCAAGTTGGGAGGCTGAGTTGATTGATTGAAAGGGCCCTTAATCAGACCATGCCCGATAGTGACTCATCGGGGCCACTGCGCATCAGCGTCCACACCGAGTGGAACTGTTCTATGCATGATGAGGAGGCACAAGTCCCACCGTGGGTCTCAACGGGGAGTCGGTGAAGCCCAGACCCAAACCCCGCTCCCCCCGCCTCATGTGAACTCCGAGTTGCATGACATAGAGACGAGTTTGAGTCGACGTTACCAATATTTTCTTTTTTATTACGTCTTTTAAACCAACAATGATAATTATACAACTATGAATAAGATGAATCTTAACTGTTAACAGGTGGCCTTGGTACTTGCCCTTTTTGGCTTCATCTGTTATATCACCAGGCCACCTCAGCTCTCAAATGCTGGTTCAGCTATGCCCTTCCATGTCCTGGAAACCGTGGCGAGGTCATCCTCTGAGGACTGCCCGGATGAAAACCAGGATGGCAGGGCCCAGCGTAGGGCTAACTACACTAATGAGCTAGTCCCATGTGTATGGCGTGTGTAGTGTATAGTGTGTACAGTCAGTTCTGCTATAACGTGTTTTGATGACGCTAATAATGTATTAAGGAACACATTCTTTTAATAACGCGATTGAGGAACAGAACTACGCCATGCGAGTAGAAATAAGCGGTTGTATGGCTGCCTCGGCATAACATCACGATGCAAGGCGCTTCTAGATGCTACCCATGCACCTCAGTCTTTGTTCAGCCTACATACGCATCTCGCGTGTCATCGCAGACTGTGTTTTACTCTATACAGTATTGCTGTATTTGTCTCGCTTTATCATGCAACTTTGTTGATTTTTTATTACAAAGCAATATTAATGAATTAATTAACCAAGTTTCTTTCAAATATTCTGTGTTTATCATGTTGTTAGTAACTTTATTTGCTAATATAAAATTTTTAAACATTATAAAGTACGTTTTTTGGGTGGAAAAGGTGTAACTTTTGATGCTATGGAAACAAATTAAGCCTTTAACATGTCTTTCCTATGCTTGCTTAATGACTAAATTACAGTCAACCCTTCTGCATCACGACATTCCCCATCGCGGTTTCAATATATCGCGGGGTCGGCATAAGAAATTAAATGGAAATTTTTGGGGAGTTTTTGGGAGTTTTGCGAAAGCCACAGATGACATGCGAAGGTCAGCAGACGACACAAAAAGTTTAGTAACTCATAAATGCATAAAATATATGTACAGTACTGTATAACATTAATCTATTGTATCTTTTAATACCATAAATATACACAATAATTTTTTTACGTTACATTTTGTAAAAAGTTAAAGTTTTCTAAAAGAACGCAAAAGCCATCAGACGACACGCAAAGACTGAACATGTAGAGATAACTTAAAAAGTTTAGTAACTGGAGGTGCTCGCTTCGCTCGCCAAGGGGACCAAACATTTTATGCGGTTTTTCCAGATCGCGAGGGGCCTGCACCCCTAATCCCCGCGATGTGTAAGGGTCGACTGTACTTGCTTAATTACCAAATTACTTACTAACCATATTCATGGAACCAATTACCGTCGTTAAGAGCGGTTTTACTGTATTTATGTGGGGTTAAAAAACTCAGTAGATGGGATCTGATATTGACGCTAGCACCGGAAGTTGCCCATGCATTCGCTTAGGCGAGCGTGTGTATACGGTGTGTGGAATGTGTACACGCCCAGGATGAGCATTACGGTCGCATGCGGTGCATTTCTTAAAGCCACGGAAGAATGAGCATACGGCCCTGTACGCACTAACCAGACGTGACTGCTTCTTCTCTTTCTGCAGGGGCTCACCCCACTGTCTCGTCTCCTCCTTGGCGGATGCCTCTGCGTGGATTGATGTGTCCACAAGAGGCACACACTGACTCGGCACTTCCTCATCCCTCGGCATTTCCTCATCCCTCGGCATTTCCTCATCCCTCGGCATTTCCTCATCCCTCGGCATTTCCTCATCCCTCGGCATTTCCTCATCCCTCGGCATTTCCTCATCCCTCAGCCAGCTATGCGCCAGTGCCTCTGCTGGTGTCATCCGCAGAGCTGGATCCCATCTGTTGAGACACAGAAATATGTGGCACACGTGGTAAGGGTGATAATGATGTAAGGATTTATGTGCATTTCTTTCTCTCACTGTGTCCATTAACTTAAGTGTGTATGTTAAACTTCTTTCGCACCGTACATAGCCAATTGTAGGTGCGGGTGAAGGACAACAAACTACATTCAATACTGAGTTATAAAAAGATGTAATTTTCAATCTAGAGTTAAAAGTGAATTTCCCAGTGATATTGTGGCTCATTTGTAGTAAGCATTTTGTGTGTAATGAGTGCGACCTTAAAATATATTCGTTCAGCAAATGTAATCTAATGCAGCTCCGTGAACACTGGACGGACATGGTTGAATCTTGCAAAGAATGTTGTACTGTACATGCTGCAGCTTCCTAATGCTTTTTCCAGACGTCCCTTAGACTAGTGAGTTGCAATAATCAAATACACCACGATGTTGGCTATGTCATGACTCAATAGTGGCTGATTGTGTCATAGAGCCCTGATTTTAAAAAATTGCAGGACCTGACTATATATATTAAAAAAAGAGAAGCAGAAATCCTCCACTATTGGTGATGACTGTCAGATGAACCTTCTGTTCTCCCCACTGTGCCACCTTGATGTATTTGTCCCCCTGGTGCTCCACTCATTGTGAACATCGCTCCACCACCCTCAATTGTTGTTGGAGGGCCAATGCTTCCAACTGCCCAGTAGCCTGGCGTTGCCCAGTGGCATACTTCACGAGCCCACCTCCACATACATGATATACATATATCGATATATGTTCCTTTTAAGGGCTTTTCTGTAAGGGTATGTGAGTCTATGGGTCTCTATAAGTGTAGAGACCATATAAGTGTATGAGTCTGGGTCTTTATATGTGTATGGACCATGTCAGTACATGTGAGTCTATTGGTCTATTTGTAAATGTATGGCTGATGTAAGTGTATGCAAGTTTGTGGGTCTCTATGTAAGTGTGTGGACATTAAGGGCCTTCATGATGGTGGCCAACCTCAGGTAAAGCTACGTGGCCAGAAGTCAGAGCCATTCCCTGTTTACCTTGGGGTGCGAAAGGCAGTGGCGGCTCCTGCAAAATCTCTCAGGGGGGGCAAATGTCTGGATGATTGATAAGGATAAGGTCCACCCATGCAATGAATAAATTAACAGCAACTTCACTTCTTTAATATTAATGAAAAATAAAGTGACTCTTACAATACATCTTGTTTGTTTATATACTCACTATTAAAACAAACCACTCAAGTTTATTTTATTAAAGATTCCACTAGGTAGCGATACATTATATTGTTGGATGAAACGTGCTTACGTATGATGACGTAAGCACGTATGATGACGTAAGCACGTTAGGGCTCGCCCTCCCGGAAGCCATAGATAATGCATTGGAGCGCCCCCGTTCGAAAAAAAACATCTTTCAATGTAAGTCTATGGGGCCACTCGGGGCGATTCTCAGCCGTAGTGAAATCGCCCCAAAAGAGGCGGTACTCCACAGAACGTGACATGACGCTGATTGGACTATATCCAGAGGCTGCAGTGACGGCTAGCGTGACTCTGTGGTTGAATGACATTGGTGGTGCGTCGCCCAATCGCCCTAATGAAGAAACCGCCCCTGGCGAAAGGGATGTCCTCTGCATCCCACATTATTTAACATCTTTTCGTCCATGTAGTTTGTCGAGCCTTTGATGGCTGTACCGGAGAAATTTCCATCTGGTACAGAGAAAATGGGAGACTGGGTGGGGTCGAGTAATGGCTCGCTATTGGTCAACCATGTAATGTATGCTGATCTGGTGATTGCTGCTCACTCAGAGGAGGAGTTGGAAGCACTACTGCTGAACCTGGAGATTGCCACTCAGAGGTGGGGCCTCACCATCAGCCCCACCAACACTAAGCACCTGCATGGGTATTTTGTACCATCAAACACTCCACCCCCTCAGCTCCCCGTTGGTCATGGAGCAGTTGTGGAGAGAGTGGAGAGTTTCCCATACCTGGCCAGTGTGCTTATGACCAGCTCCGGTTCGACAGCAGAGGTCTTACTGAATCAGCAGTTGGGCGTCGTTTTTTTATCGGCTGAGCAATGCTGTGTGGAAGCTATCTGGTTTGTCGCTCCACACGAAGCTTCAGATCTTCCCGGGCACAGTCATGCCCTCTCTTCTCTATGCTTGTGAAACGTGGACCCCTCTAAAGGAATATCTGTGCCTGTTATAAACGTTTAGGCTGGCCTTCCTTCGATCCATCCTAGGTTTATCCAGGCTGGATTGTGTGAGGAGCTCACAAATTCTTGAAAGATTTGGACACATTCCCATCAGTGAGCTCCTCCGACAGGTAAGGCTGGATTGGCTCGGTCATGTAGCCCGCATGCCCAGCCACCGCATACCCAAGCAGCTTCTGTTTGGTTGCATCGAGGGGGATAAATTGGCACGACACGGGCTGGAGAAGAGATGGACTGATGCGGTACGAGAGGATGTGGAGCTGAGTTGACTTGCCGAAGACTGCTACCTGCAGTGTCAAGATCGGCCTCTGGAGGAGGCTCATGAAGGACGCTACTGGGCAGGTGGAGACAGCCGCCCTCGGCGGGCAGAGGAATGATGCTCACAACACTTAGTGGAGCGCCAGGCGGCTAAAATTCAGTAAGTTGGCACAGTAGGAGGTACAGTGGTGCATGTGTCAGTCATCTCAGTCAGCCAAACCATGGCACCCGCTGGGTATGTCCCATGACCTACAGTCAGCGAGCCTTAGGCACTCCACGTCTCAAAGTGCACCTAGCCTGGCACAAGCGTCATGGTCACATCACCATCACTTAGGGGCAAATGGCGGTATTGGTATGGACCATGTGAGTGTATGAGAGTCTATGGGTCTCTCTATACACGTGTAGTGTAATAACGCGGGCTGCTGACAAGAAAGCGGTACTGGCAGCAGGGGGCAGTACACACGTCAGCAGCGGGAGATCTAAAAAGAAGCCCAGGAAGAAATCGATCTGGAAGCCTGAGAACCCACTAGTAGGTTCGAGAAAGAGGGCGTAGCGAGGCGGGGCGAGGCCACGCCAGGGGGATAAAAGGGGGCCCGGGACGAGAGCTCGGGGCTGTTGCTGGAAGTGGATCCCCACGCTCTGTCGCCAATCGTCACCTTCGTCGCCGCAGTCTCCGACCACCTTTGACGCCGCTAGCTAGACAGCCTGCAGACTGCTCCATCTAGGTAGTGCCGTCAAGGACATGGATGTGTGACTAGCGCGTAGACACGCGGGGCACATGTGGTTTCCTGACGTGTGGAATAAGGAAGGTCCCTTAAGAACCCTGTCTCCGACTGAGTCACTACACGTGTATGGACCATGTCAGTGTATGTGAGTCTGTGGGTCTCTATGCAAGTGCATGTTTTTACATGCAAGTCTATGGACAAGGTTGTCTAATGGGATATATGGCTTGGAAGATAAAGAATAATCAGAATAGAGAGTGGAGCTAGTGATCAAAGAGGAGAATTCGCCAGTGATGCTATACTATTAAACTCTTTTCTTTTTACCAGGTGACTGACTGGGAAAAACCACTCTGTGGGGGGGGGGGGGGGTTCTTACTCCAGGCAGCGGCTAATGAAGTCGTGGAACTCCGAGTCCTGGCTCCCGAGTGCCAGGTATAGGGAGTGACTGCCTGGGACCCTGCTTTGTCCAGACATCAAAGGCATCCCCGAACCATCTGCAGGGATGATGCAGACCAGGTAAAACATCATTACAAACCACAGCACCCTTGTACACCCACAGCGCAGAAACACAATCTTATAGTGCTATGACATAGACCAGTGGGAGTACTTTGACCGCTTGTTGCAGAAGTTCATGGTTCAAATTCTGCAAGCCGCCATGGTTATTACTTCAGTAATTACTTCAGTAATAACCATACGATGCTTTGCGCTGTTTGGTTTAAAGTAGAACGTTACAGACCTTGTGAAGTCATAAGATTATCATGCTGGTGTTACGCCCGCTACTGAAAAATGACTGCAGACGGTGTCTGTGAAACACAGCAGGCACCATCCTTTGTGATAGCTTTGCGTTCTAAGAATGATAGTGCAAATACCAAGTGCATTCAATAAGTATTAACTATGATAGATCCTAGAGGTAAAAAAGAAAAGCTCTTTTAACTTTGATTTAACCTCTTTCAAGCAAAACATTGTTTTTTACCAGGTAAAGCCCACTGAACTATTGCCTCTTTTTAAGAGGCGACCAGGCAAAAGGGAGAAGATAAGTTCCCGCAATGTACAGCAACCAGGCTGGGGATCTACGCTACGATCTTCTGCATTGCAGGTGAGGGAGGTAACGTTTCCTCGCCTCTGCAGCATCCCAAAAACGTCTGATCTCATTGTTAAACGTGGTTTTGAACATTACCCTTCACATTACAGGTGATTCAACAAAAATAATTATGATTATAATCACAACTGGCGTCTCTTTAATCGCTTGCACTCATGGTACTTTAATTTGCTTGCCTTTGTCGGGTGGTTGGAGAACCTTAATGACACAAATTTGGGCAGATCACCATGAGGCCTAACCCTTCCCCAAAAATGCATTACGAATCATATTGACTGCCAAAACACATGTGGAAGTAGTTGAATATACAAAGTAATGCCCCACTAGACTCTTAACGGACCCAGCTCCCCCTCAAACTTAACGCGATTCCCCCGCACGCCCCTTCACTCACCAAAGTACTTGTTTCTCTCAGGCGCGTCATCAATCAAATTCTGAGGCGGCATCCCGAGGATCTACACACAATTCACACAGAGACAATGATCACCCATACAGTATTGACACACTTGTGTGGAAAGTTCTGTTTGTGAGCACCTACTGATGATGGCACAGCACCCAAGGCCACACCACAGCAACTATTTTACAAATCACTCCAGGTATTGATTTAATGCTGAGTCGATATTTGAGAGGCCAAGGACTGGTCCAACATTCAACACCACACGGTCAGGGTGCTAACCATTCGGCTACCGCTCCCGATGGTTCTCGCATGCAGGCACGGGGCAGTGTTATTGGCATGGCCCAGCAAAACCGCGAACGCCGCACGTTGCAGAAGTTCACGGATCAATCCCAGTGACTGCCCTGGTCTTTACTGCGGTATTAAACCACAAAATACTATGCACCATCTGCCTCATTCACAGCGGAGGTAATGGGTCCCGTGGCGTCATTTGAAATTGCTTATATGGTTGTGAGAATTTTCTTCATTACAAGCAGTTGAGATGAAACAACAATAATTGGCGCGATAAATGCTCGTTCATCTGACAATTCAAATTATTTGCAGGTGGTGTAGGGTTACATTTGGCCAATCCGTGGCCTCATGCAATAATCTATCACGAGTCATAACACCAGCTCTAAAAATCTATGCGTTCCGCTCACAGTTACCTTGACAGGTCTACGCCTGAGTAATTGGTTCTATCATGCGGTTGTATGCAACTCAGTAGCTTGTGTGTGGACAACCATGCAACCAGTCGCGAGCAGTCGTACGCCTCTTTCTCACAGAAGAGACGACTCAAGTGGTCTGCTCAGGGAATTGTAAGGAAGTATTTCCTGTCGCATGTTCAATTGGTCATACCAATTCTGAATATTATTTTAATACCCTTGATGCGGAAATACTCGATGAGAAGTGAAAAACATGGTTAGAAGCAATGACTGAGTTGCGCGATTTCAAGAGCAAATTGGTCATGAAATTGATCACTCAATAACGGAATTGTCAGTGTTACTGCTGTGTGGGCAATACCTCCATATAACACGGGAGCTGGTCGTGTTTGTTGATGGCCGGAAAGAGGATGCGCCCGGTAGCCAACTCGGCCACTGTACACCCCAGCCCCCACATGTCAACCGGGAAAGATGACATGTGGCCCAGGTATGCCTCTGGGGCAAGGTACGCAGGGGAACCAAAAATCTGTGAACCTGTGAATTACAAAATACAAACATAACCAATATAGCCTTTAACAGCAACACACAGGCACGAAAAAACATGTATACAAACACATGTACTCACCCATAGGTCTAGAACCATGCACACACAGGTGAAGAGACGCAAACACGTGTGCACACACACAAAACGTCCCCATATAGGCTTTAACAAATTTATCTGGCATTTGCTTTTAGCGAGCACCTAATGAAGGCCTGAACAACACACACGAAGATGGGTGGCCAGCACCACGCCCAGCCACCTTTGTCTTCTAAACTGGTGGTGCCTAGACACCGCACATGGTACTCATTTATGGCTGAGTCGACCTAGGGGAGGCCCAGGACTAGGTTCAGATATTCATGAACGCAAATTTTACTACAGTCACCAGGATTGTAGTGCTGTCGACTAACCCCAACACTACGGTTCCTCACTGCATAAACAAAGAAAAGTTCCCCCGTGTAGCCTTAGACATTGTTGGGGCAGGTGCAATTAGTGACCACCTATGAAGTCCAAAACGACACTTGAGGGGGGTGGGTGGCCTGCACCATGCCTTTGTCTCCTGAGTGGCATTGTTTACACACCACACCAGGTACTCATTTGAGACTGAGTCTACCTAGGGGAGGCTCACAACCAGTTCAGAAAATCGCCACTCTCACCTGGGTCACCAGTTTCGAAATGCAGTGTGCTAACCACTACACTACCGCTCCTTGAACTGCATACACACACATTCTCATACTCAGCCACACACTCACGACTCACGTTGGCGTCCCACCAAAAAGCTGTTTTCAAAACTCATCATCCGGATGGTCCTTGCCCCAGGCTCTTTAATCGACATGTTCCTCTAGACGATAGGCAGCAGAAGATATTCACATTCAGAGGTCATGATAAATAATGTCAACTTGTAATACGCCAATGCCATGCAGTATTCACTCTATCTGGAAGAGAGAGAACCACTCCGAGGCACGAGGAGGGGCCACAGATGATGTTTCACACCATTGGTGTGATCCACCAACCTGCGGCTCTACAGTGCTGGATTACAGGCATGCACAACTATTCAGCCTGCAGCAGATTGGTCATGTAGCAAAATACCACAATAAATATTAAAAGGGGAATCTGAGATGACACGCTTTTGCCAAGGTTATTCATCGCAACTCAAGAGAATGTTTTCTGATGGATGCCACTGGGGTGCCCTTTCAAATGTATTTAGATGAGATTATTCCAATCTCTAATCTCATATAGAGCACTCTGGGTTGCCCGGCGTAAAGGAGGGCGCTCTTATCATACCTGTATGACGATTGTTACAAGAGGGCCGAACGGAGCTTGTAGCTGTGAGTGTTAGTTAGGCAGAAGCATGCACATGCATGAAGTTGGTAACGCATTCTCATGCGCATGAGCAGCATGGAAACAAGTGGGCAGCTGTCAGGTTAAAGCACAGTTGCTTAATTTCAAAGCGTCCTTTTACTTGCACTGGTTTGTGTCTCCATGATTTGGGCAATGCTTTGTTTCGACATGTCTGCTTTTCTCTAGCGCGAGTCCCTAATAGCAACAAAACTTTAAACTCAAGTTTCACCCATATATAACCCTCTGTACGACAGTTATCATGACCCGCAGCTACTGACAGTTGGACAGAGCAGATGCATTAACGCTTTGATCAATGGGTATAGGTTCTACGAAGACGAGCCCCGAACGGGAACTCAAATTAATGCTGCAGTTGTGCGGAACCTGGTGTCCACTCACCGGCTGGATATCCCCATGCACGATTCCCTTGGCATGGAGATGAATGAGGAATTTGAGGATGGACTTGGTGAAGAGTTTCACCATTGTCATCTCAATGTGCTGGGGTGCTGTGCAATCAATGGCACTTAACAGACGTCTTCTGTTAAGGAGACAACAACAGAAAGTCAGTGCCATCCTTTAAAGGGCTGAGTAAGCAATACAAATTATCAACAATTATTATACTCGTTTATCCATGGAAGCCTCACTAAATGTAAACACTTTTTTCCTGAGGGTCCTGCCAAGTTTCTCCTGTCGGGGTGACATTGTTCCTATGTGTAATCCCAACTGAGTTATTTTTAAGTTATTTTCTCAGCACTGGCGAATTTGGCCGATGCCAATTAAATTATGTGCGAGTGTTTCGCTATTGGAGGAATGCGGAGAATGAGGATAAATTCCATGCAGAACAAGTGGAGAACAAACTCCACACAGACACTTATCCGAGTCAGCAATCAAACCCAAGCTCTTGGAATGATGCACGAGTGTTACCACTGCCGTCACACTGACGGTTGTCGGTGTGGCTATCGAAAAATTAGCAAGGCTGGAGAAGAAAATGGAGTGGAGCAGCCAGCTTTACATGTCTCTGCTCAGACAGCAGGGTACGTACTTCGGTATGAGCTGCATGACGAGGCAGTTGTGACCCCTGAAGGTGAAAAAGTCGAGGATTCTGTCAACGTTGACATCATCATTGGCCCAGCCCTGAAGTTGGAGCAAGATGTGGTACTCCATCCACTGGCTGTGGTCTTCCTCGGCACTAAACAGCGGAAATCCACAGCTTCATATTAATTACAATAATTGACCCTTGTAACAGTTTGTCGCTCGCTCTCAAAGACAGTTGTCCTTCACCGCATCTGCGATTAACAGTGGGCTACGTACGGCGCGAAAGAAGTTAAACATAAATCCAGAGAAAACCCACACATATGAGCACCATAACACTACCCACGTAAATATGGAATTGATTTACTGTCCTGCCTTCTCCATGCAAGACATTGTGAAGTCTTACCTGAATGACTGTCTCCACATCTTCACAGCCACTCGGGTGTTGGTCTTGTGGTCACGGCATTTGAAGATCTGGCTGTAAGGTCCGACCACCTTCTTCAGCACCTCATATCGGAAATGGAGATGCTCATGCTCGACCTGCGGTGCAATCACATCAACTAAGTATACTGATCCAATCACTGCTCATTCAGTCACTGAGTATGGATGCAATATATGTGTGGCATGTGTAAGAGTTAGTGTGAATGTGTAGGGTATGTTGTCCGCCTGTTCTGCAGATTATTATGGTGTTTGTCAGTGTGCAGACTTTGTGTGTTCTCCACGTGTTACGTGACCTGAGGAGAGTCGTACCGAGACATAATGGTTGAAGACATCATCGTAGCCATGGTTTTGAGTGCCAAAGCCTTTGTTATGGACTCCGAAATACCAGACGTTATTCACGTTGAGGACCTCGCTTCTCTCGGTGGGGGTCAGGAAATCCCCAAAGAGCTTCAAGATTTCTGCAAACATAAGAACAATGATGATTAATATTGTCCTATTATAATATTGCTTTGTCAAATAAAACATTTTCGTTTCTTTAATTTGTTCACTAAGCAATGTGGTCGTGTTTTTTTTTTTCATTGCATTTTTAACCAGTTCCGTATTCCTGTAACATGTGAAGAACAGACTGATAACGAATTTGGTATCACCACCTACAGTGAGGGAAAAAAAGTATTTGATCCCCTGCTGATTATGTACGTTTGCCCACTGACAAAGAAATGATCAGTCTATAATTTTAATGGTAGGTTTATTTGAACAGTGAGAGACAGAATAACAACAACAAAATCCAGAAAAACGCATGTCAAAAATGTTATAAATTGATTTGCATTTTACAAAATCAGCAGGTGATCAAATACTATTTCCCTCACTGTATGAAACCGCGCTTTTGTCATGAAGACTTGTTTAACATCCATACGATCGTAGGACACCCAAGAAACATAGCCTAGCCACTTATTGGGCCCTTCCTGCTGAAATGATAATAAAATATACGATGCTTGTTTACCAAAGAAAGCTCCACTGAGTCCCTGGACTGCATATAATCACTAACACTAATTTTTTTTTGCATTGGGATGTTTGAATAATTTTCTTTAGCTGTGGGAGGAAAATGGCGAACCCGGAGGAATCCCATGCAGAGCAGGGGGAAATCATCCCGACTCCAAAGAGAAATGCACGAGGAGTGTTCCTGCTGTGCCACCCTGCCTCGCGACATTTTTATTCCATAGCCATTCACATGCTTGTTTTTGTTTTCAACTGTGACCACCATGACGTCCCCCACCATGACTTCTCTGATCATATCTATCACCTCGTGGGGTTTTACTGCTGGCGATGGCAATGCTGTCCGATGTGGGCAGCGCACTCCATTGCACGCTGCTCCTGGAGCCCACCTTCTCTTCAGCCTTGGCCATCTACACACAGACAAAGATGCAGGTCACCCGGTATAACCTTCAGCAATCTTTTGGGGAAAGTGCAGCAAGTAAGCAATGAGCCAACATCGCTGAGGGCCCTGGGTTCCATAGTGAGGAAGACCAGGCTTTGGCAATATGGGGCGAAGTTGCTACGTGGTCCAGCCATTGGGAACTCCCAGTGGCATTTGTCCCTGTGCATTAGTCTACCAGTGGACTGTTAGTCTACCAGTGGACTGTTAGTCTACCAGTGGACTATTAGTCTACCAGTGGACTGTTAGTCTACCAGTTGACTATTAGTCTACCAGTTGACTAGTCCTCCAATAATGTAGACTAAGATGTTATCTCCCTCGCCTGGATGCAGGAAGTTGTGGGTACGATGCCAACCCTGTGTGACTGATTGCATGAAAGTATAAAGTGATTATGAGAGAGTGAGTGAGCGTGAGTGTGAGAGTTTGTAAGTATTAGAGTGAGTGTAAGACTGCATGAGTTTTAGAGTTAGTGAGATAGTGAGAGTGAGTGTGAGAGTGCATGAGTTTGAGAGTGAGATAGTGTGAAGATGAGTGTCAGAGTTAGTGTGTGAGCATGAGTGATTGAGAGTAAATGTGAGTGAATTTGAGAGTTAGTGAGTGTGAGATTCAGTGTGTGAGGGAGTGTGAAAGTGAGAATGAGTGTGAAAGTTAGTGTGAGATTGATGTTGTAAGAGTGCATGGGAGAGTGAGAGAGTTAGTGTTAGAGTGAATGTGTGTGAACGTGAATGAGAGAGTTACAGTAAGTGTGATGGTAAGTAAGTGCGAGTGAGACAGAGTGAGAGAGTGAGTGAGCATGAAAGAATGTGAGAATGAGTGAGTGGGGGAGTTAATGAGAGTGAGTGGGAGCATGATAAAGTGAGTGAGAGAGTGAGTGTGAGTTAGTGAGTGTGAATGTGAATGCATGTAAGAGTTATTGAGCGGGAGAGTAAGAGTGTGTGTGAGAGTGCATGTGGGTGAGCGAGTGAGACAATGAGTATGAGTAAGATAGTGAATGTGAGCGTGAGAGTAAATACTCGTGAGTTATTGAGCGGGAGTGTAAGAGAGTGAGTGTGATAGTGAGTTAGTGTGAGAGTGAGTGGGAGAGTGAGAGAGTGCATGTGACAGAGAATGAGTGAGTGAATGAGAGAGTATGTGACAGTGATTACAGTGAGGGTGAGACAGAGTTTGAGAGTGAAACAGCGAGTCTGACAGCGTGCGAGTGAGTGAGCGCGAGTCTCACTGTGCTCCCTCCTCCTCGTCTCCACTCCCCGTAAAGAATGAGACCTCCTTTACCAGTGGCAAAATATAGTAATAGGTTTTTACCCTTTCAAATGGTACAAAAACTGACACCTTTATACAAGGCATCATGTTTGCAATAACCACAACACAAGCAGTCAAAATGCGAACAAAAAGAAACAACTTTGATGATAATGATATGCACTGTCCTTGAAGTTGATTGGTCCACACCCGAGACAGCTTTTCTTAGAGCCTAGTCTCCATTGGTGTTGGACCAGATGACGCCAAAAGGCGTACAACTCAAAGACAGTGCACTATCAGAGTATTCAGAGCTCGGGGTAAGCATTTACACTATGAGACCTCTTTACCAGTGGCAAAATATAGTAATAGGTTTTTACCCTTTCATCATGCTACATGTAGCCCCAGTGGCCTAATGGATAAGGCACTGGCCTCCTAAGCCAGGGATTGTGGGTTCGAGTCCCACCTGGGGTGGCTGAGAAAAAGTTGTTCATTTTGTAGACGTCAAGTTTATGAATCTGACGATGATAAGCGAAGGTGGTACTGTGCCGATCGAAGAGAGTGTGAAATCAGTGTACTTTGGTGACAGGAATCAACATTGATAAAGCAGAGGGGACGAAAGGGGGAAATACGTATCCATTTTTAAATCCTTCATATTAAGTTCACTTGCTTGCTTGCACGCTTACGACCGTGCAAATCTTTCGGTCGTTTTTTAATCCACTTCCCGTGATCCAATCGAGCTGACATTTTGCACAGACTCGTTGTGCGTGACAATTTATTTTTGTGAAAATGTTTTTCCAAAATTTTCCACTTTTTAGGAAAAAAAATATTTCACTAACACAATCATATATTTTTCCTAAACACAGAAAATTATTCAAGAAAACAACAAAAATGTACAATATAAACAATCATACAAAACTGAAAACCTTATAATCCTTATATACGACTTTCCTTATATTTCATTTAAAATACCAATGTAATAAAAATGAAACTCTTACTCAAGAAAAACAGAAATGAATAATAAAATAAAACCGATGCCACGCACATAAAGGATTTATAGTGAAAAACTTTGTTTTTACGGGTTAATTTTTTGCTGCTACTGCTGCCAATTTCTCCTCTGCACGTCTCACTACACGCGTGCAGTGACGTCACTCACCTCCACGGCTATGGCCACGCCCTTATCTCTGTTACGTCAGACACTCAAACTCCTCCCACTCAACGAGTGACCACGTGACCGCTCAACGGTTCGTGCTGTGCGTGTCAGACTTGAGCAAAAAGTTTGTGAATGTCAGAGTCAGTATGAGAGTGAGTATGAGTGAGAGTGAGTATGAGTGAGAGTGATTGAGTGTGAGAGTTGGTGAGTGTTTTAGTGAAAGAGTGAGTGTGAGTGAAAGAGACAGTGAATGTGAGAGTGCCTTTAAGAGTGTGCGAGTGAGTTAGTGAGAGGGTGAGTGTGATATGGAGTCTCACCGTGCCTCCTGCTCTTTTCCAATCCCTGTAAATAATCGCAACAAGAGCTCGGCTCTTTGTGCTGCTACTGCAGTTACCTCCTCTGCACCTTCTCCGTACACGCGTGCAGTGACGTCACACCTCCACGGCTATGGCCACGCCCCTATCTCTGTTGCGTCAGACCCTCAGACCCCTCCCGCTCAACGAGTGGCCACGTGACCCCCCAACGATTTGTGGTGTGACTGGTGAGACTTGAGTGAAAAAGTTCGTGAATTTGAGTAAGCGTCAGAGTAAATGGGAGACGTGAGTATGAGTGAGTGTAAGAGTTAGTGAGTGTTTTAGTGAAAGAGTGACACATGGGTGAGCGTGAGTATCGATTTAAATTTCGTGATGCAGGGCTCCATTTCTTGGTTCTTTCCCCCCCGGTAAAGTCACGGAGAAGGGAAGTAATAAAAATAATAAAAATAAAACAAATTAAAATAAATACTTCTCAGCCGTTTCGGTACAAGGCCACGCCGTCTTCAGGTGAAGACGGTGCTGTCTATGGGGGGGGATGGGAGGGGTAGGGGGGGAGGGGTATGGGGGGCGCCGGGGGCGTGGGGGGGGTATGGGGGGGGCGGGGGGTATGGGGGTGGGAGGGGGGGGTCGGGGGGGGGCGGGGGGGGGGGGGGGGGGGGGGGGGGGCGGGGGCGGGGGTATGGGGGGGCGGGGGGGGGTAT